AAGCACTTGATTTTAGAGTATTAAAGAAGGAGGTAAAGCGGGGTGAAGAAACACACCAATATAGAGCGAGAGAGATTTCACACGCATCAATTCTCTCACAACCTCCATGAAATACTGTACATGCTCAACACGGTAAAAAGAAATGCCCCTAAAATCAGAGCCATCCAGTTCTTTAATAACATCTCAGGAGGGCCATTAGTCATTGAGAGCGAGAGAGTCATTACACCTCACTGAGAGAGTCATCAAAGTAATGCCTCACAGACAGAGATACTACTACACCACTGCACAAGAGCTCACCGAGAGACACAACAACACCTCGAGTGATCAACTTTCCATTGATCTCTTTAAATAAAAGTTTTGTGTACTATGATAACATACTGTAATTTTAAGGCAATACTGGTAACACTTTATATATAATGCATTATAAAAGAAGTATTATAAGAATAGAACCTTATAATGCATTGCATTAATACATTTTAATACATTATGATACTTATCTATGCATTGTTACATTTAAAAAAAAACACACAACAAACAAACCTTATATTATTATAATGCATTTTAACGTTGGTTACAATTACTCATGAAAAGATATAATGCATTACAACATACATTATAAATACCTTGCATTATATATAAAGGTAGGTTTAATCGCAATATTCTCTGTAATTTTATGATTTTTACTGTACTTTTCATTTGAAAGTGCAGGTTTATACATGTAACACTACTCTAATAGTCTAAAGAAAATATGCTGTAAGCTAAATACTTAATTGTAACTAAAAAAGTAAAAAAAAAAAACTTGATTGTTTATATTTATTATTGTATATTTATAATTAGTTTTGGCTTTTGTACAATGGAAACAATAAACAATGTGTTCTTTAAATTTATTTGCAATTTTCACACAAAAAATAGTATTTATTTAAAAACATAGTATATACTGTTGTTCAAATCTTTGCTGTCAGAATCTTTTTTTTAAAGAAATTAATACTTTCATTCAGCAAAGATGAATTAAATTGATCAAAAGTCACAGTAAAGACATTTATAATGTTAAGAAAGATTTCAAATAAATGCTATTCTTTTCAACTTTGTATTCATCAAAGTATCCTAAAAATAAAACGCATCATGGTTTCCACAAAAATATTCAGCAGCACAAGTGTTTTCAACACTGATAATAATCAGAAATGGTTCTTGAACAGCAAATCAGCATATTAGAATGATTTCTGAAGATCATGTGACACTGAAGACTAGAGTAATGATGCTGAAATTTCAGCTTTGAACACAGAAATAAATTACATTTTACAATATATTCAAATAGAAAACTATTATTTAAAATTGTAATCAAATTTCACAATATTACTGTTTTTAATGGATTTTTTAAATCAAATAAATCCAGCTTCGGTGAGCAAAAGAGAGTTAAAAAACAGTGTATTTTTATGGGAATGGGAATGAAAAGTTACAAAACATGTCAATAAAAGTTGTCCAGTCCAGGATATTTAGTTAATTTAGAAAAATAATATTACATATTTACAGTTACAGAATAATAAATGTAATACATAATAAAATAAATTAAAATAATGTATTTCTTTACTGACGTATTATTGCTTAAAAAGCAAGTGGTGGCTCTGTCCAGCATTCAGCACCACGGACAGCAACATTCACACTCTATTACACACAGGAACCCTTCACTGATCGCTCTTAATGATTACAGCAGCCATACGCCATATTCCAGCCATCTAACCATTCAAGAGACAAGTTTCTGTCGTTTAAGTCTCTAAAGAAACCGAGGGAGCCTCCACAATCCGTCTGTCAGCGCCACCGGAGGCCGTAACGATTATGAATGGGCAATAAGACACAGCTGTGGCCTGACGCGTGGCCACGTGGAGACCCGTGCCGCAGGAACGAGCCAAATGTCATAAAGCAGTAAAACGCCGACTCGTATATTAACCGGAGAATATATAAATATGTGAGGGGATGAAAACCTTTTTAGAGAGGTGAACGCTGAGGAGAAACTGATCCGGGCTGTTCTGGAATGAAAAGGCCTGATGGATTTATGGGCTGTTACGTGCAAATAATCCGGAGGCAGAGTTTTCAGTCAGAGGATGAGAGAGAGAGAGAGAGAGAGAGAGAGAGAGAGCTCTTTACCTGCACAAACACCATTTATACTGTACTTTACACTATTTATTTTACTGTGGTTTGTTTACAATACATAAACTGTATTGCATGCTAAGTGTTATTGCACTGCCAGGGTGTTTGTACTTGTAAAAGGTTGCTATCCTGCTTTATTATGCACTGTAAAAATTCTATATTCCTGTGCTACTCTATTCTGTTATAATCTAGCTATATGTGCGTCATGTGTAACATCTGAAACTATTTTTTACGTTCTATTACACTTTATTTCATTCATTGTTTTTACTTTTTCATATATATAGAGAGAGACTCCTCAGTTCTATTATATTCTATTATCCTCAGTTCTGTTATAGTCTGTACTGTATTGTACTGTACTGTACACTTCTGTTCTATTATTCTCTATATAACTCCATTCTATTGTACTGTTCTCTATTCTGTTCTATTCTATTATTCTCTATATAATTCCATTCTATTTTACTATTCTCTGTTCTGTTCTACTATATTCTGTTCGTCTGTTCACTGTTCTGTTCTGTTATTCTCTGTAACTCCGTTCTATTCTGCTGTTCTATATTCTGATCTATTATATTCTATTCTACTGTACACTGTTCTATTATTCTCTATATATCTCCATTCAATTCTGTTATCTTTTCTTCTATTATATTCTATTCCATTGTACGCTTTTCTGTATTAATTTATTCTACTGTATTATATTCTGTTCTATTATATTCAATTCTTCTATACACGCTTCGGTTCTATTATTCTCTATAGAACTCCATTGAATTCTACTGTTCACTATTATATTGTATTCTACTGTACATTTCTATTCTATTCCATTCCATTATTCTCTATACAACTCCACTCTATTCTACTGTTCTATATTCAGTTATAGCATATTCTATTCTACTGTACACTGTTCACTGTACACTATTATTCTCTACAACTCCATTCTATTATACTGTTCTATTCTTCTATACACTCTTCGGCTCTATTATTCTCTATATATCTCCATTGAATTCTACGGTTCTCTATTATATTGTATTCTACTGTACACTTCTATTCCATTCCATTATTCTCTATGCAACTCCACTCTATTCTACTGTTCTATATTCAGTTATAGCATATTCTATTCTACTGTACACTGTTCACTGTACACTATTATTCTCTACAACTCCATTCTATTATACTCTTCCTAATCAGTTCTTTTGTATTCTAATTTCTCTATACAACTCCACTCGATTCTACTGTTCTATATTCAGTTATAGAATATTCTATTCTACTGTACACTGTTCCATTATATTATTCTATCACTCCACTCTGTTCCACTGTTCTCTATTCTATTCTATTCTACTGTACACTTCTATTCCATTCCATTCTTCTCTATACAACTCCACTCTATGATACTGTTCTATATTCTGTTCTATAGTATATTCTGTTCTACTGTACACTGTTCCATTCTATTATTCTCTATAACTCCATTCTATTCTACTGTTCTCTATTCAGTTCTATTCTATTTTCTCTATACAACTCCACTCTATTCTACTGTTATTGTTAGCTATTCTATTCTATTACATTCTATTCTACTGTACACTATTCTATTTGTTTTTCTCTGTACAACTCTATTCTGTTCTATTCTATTCTACTGTACACTATTTCTTTCCTATTATTTTCTCTACAACTAAATTCTATTCTACTTTTCTATATTCTGTTCTATTCTCTTCAACTGTACACTGTTCTATTCTATTCTGTTCACCTGTACTGAAGCTGAAACATGAAATTGTAGCTCATATTGTGTTGCACACGAGAGAAAGACATCAGAGGAGAACAGAAGGAGAGAGAAGTAGTGTGCACTAAACCCTGAACACCATGTTTCTGTGTCTGTAAAGAACGCAGGCGAATCCTCAGGGGCGTTCACACAGGACGTGTTCTTGCGTTCAAAAGCAGACAGACGCAGCGCACTGGGATGAAACTGAACGCAGGGGGGCTCGCGGCGCGTTTGTAAAAGTTGAGCTATTTTTAACGTGAAACGCCATGATAAAAACAAGGGTCAAAGACGAGCATCTAGTGCATGTTTGAAAACGTACACAAAAAACGCATCTATAACGAAATATTATATTCAGCAAACGGATATGCGGCGATCGAGCGGCTTCATGCGTGAATAGGCGGTATCAGGGCGTTGCTAAGAGGTTAGGTGATTCGCTCAGACTGAGTCCGATAAATAAAAATGTATTTAAAGCCTTATATAAGTTATATAACAATTAATATAATAATTATATATTTTATGTATTATATATTAATTAATATTTCATTTTTAAAAGTTTCAACTTTTATTCTTTTAAAATCTTAAAAATGTAAATGTAATGTTTTTGAAAAAAAATTCTAGGAATATTACGTGTATTTCAATGATCGGAAGTGAGTGTTTTAGCGTGTTACTCTGTGGTCGCTCGGGCGTTGTTATGATGTTCGTTTCCTGTCAAAAGAATCAACCCTCAAGTCACTTTGATATTCTGGTCTGTTTGTGGCTCGGGTCTCTCCTTCAATATGCTCCTGTGGGATTTTTCCACTGTTTTCTGGTCCAGCATGCGTCTGATCACTCTCAGTAAAGACGCGTGTAGTAAAGACTGTGGAAAATCGTTCACGTCTGCGGGATGAGTAACTCACTCAAGTTTAATTGGTATGCTTAGGGGTTTGTTTAAATATCTAGCCGTATGAGCAGTAGTAACAGCGGTACTTGTTTTAGCAAACACAGCTGAAAAGCCGAAGACCTCAAGAGGCAAAGAGCGCAGAGTGAGCTTGCGCGCATCTCTCTCTCTCCCTCACTCTCTCTCTCTCTCTCTCTCACACACACACACACACACTCTCAAGCGTTCATCCGGACAGATTCTTCTTCTTCTTCTTCTCTCTCCAGTGGATACTGCGGGGAACACACGGATTGCCTATAGGATGGATTGCTGAAACTCCCTTCGCGAGATTACCCATTTATTTCCTTTCATTTCTCTCCCGTCTCACTATCTCGTCTCCATCCGTCCATCCATGAGTCCAGACGGGTTCTGATTCGGACAGAATGCGGATCCTGGTGTTGATTCCGCTGCTGTGGGGACTCAGTGAAGGGGCTTTTCCCAGCAGTGTTCAAATCGGTGAGTTACACTTCTAACATGATGGCTAGATGGGCACTTTATTAACCCCACGAGGAATATCGCAGTGCAACAGATACGGTGTGCATATAGTGCATACTAATTCACAATAAGTAATCTATACACTGCGTTATACAAATACACAGAGATATGAGTCTAAAATAGGGTTTAAAGCTATTTTTTGCCTAAAGAGCGTTGTGTGCTGTAATGCCTCTTTGTTTTGGGGTTTAGGGGTTTCGTTCTTGCACTCTTCTCCTTAAAGGTGCTTTTGAGCACCAAATGCCTTAAGCCAATTAACTTAAAAGCAAAAGATTATGGGAATCAAATTTAAAATGTAAAAATCAGACCACATATTGGTTGACCACTACTTTTAAAATTGGGACAATTCATTGGACGCAAAGGGGACAAATGAGGGGGATAGTGTCTTTTGTGGTTACAGCCCTGCAAAGTGTCCAAAATTTGGTGCTATTTAAGCATATTTTCTTAAATGTGATATTTAATGGTTGTAGATTGGTTTGTAATTCTCTGCATGTGCAGTGTTATTAGGGTGGGATTATGTTTTCAAGGGTTTAGAGTACTTTAGCATGCATGAGTTGTGGTCATCGTGATGAAGACTGTGGTCAAGTGCATGTTGAGTGCGCTTTTGTACCTTTCATCACCAGTTCAGAGCATCACTGCAGTATTCAGTCTTGTCTTTCTGGTGCGATGTGGGATGACCTCTTCCCATCTGAGTCTGATCAAAGTTTCCCATTTCTCCAGATTTGCAGCTCTATGTTTGATTAATATCAACAAACCACTATGCATGCCCGCCCACCCCCCTCTCTCTTTCTCGCAGACACACAGTTCCCTCTCTTTTTGCAGGATGTGTCTTGCGTGTGTATTCAGTCACTGCATTGCTCATTGAGATGGAGAGTCTCACGCCATAATAAGATGCGGCCGCTGACTTGTGCGCCTTTGACAGCACTGCCGATAAAGTTAATACGCTAAATACGGACACACACACACACACACACTCACAGAGAGCGAGACAGAGAGAGATGCACAGTTGCACGCAATGCCTAATGACATTTGCATACCGCTGCAATGCAAATGCACAATGCTTCTGTTGTTCGTCGCAAATAAAAGCACGTTATGGGATCTCCAATTGCAGTTGAGCCAAAACGTCCATCAGAAAGAGAGAAGAATTGGGAGGATGTGATGAAACAGAACGTGACACTGGCCCTGCCAAGTGCAGACATGCATGCTCTGGTGACACCAACAACAAATGCGATCTTCCACACAGATAATTTCCATGATTAAAGGGACAGTTCACCCAAAAATGAGCATTTAACTCACCCTGCATGTCGTTCCAATCCTGTTTGACTTGCTTTAATCTGTGGAGCACAAAATAAGATGTTTAGCAGAATGTTCACACTGCTCTACACTCTTATAAACAATAGTTCTTCATTTGGCATTGATGGTTCCATGAAGAAACATTAACATCCATGGATACTATCCATTCCCCAAAAGGTTCTTTACGCTATTAAAAATTGTATCTTCTTTTTTTAGAAGATCTTATTTATCTTATTTTATCTTTTAAATTTATTTCATTTTTAAAGCAATAGTTCACCCAAAAATGAAAATTTTGCTTAACATTTACTCACCCTAAGGCCGTTCAAGATGAGTTTGTTTCTTCATCAGATTTGGAGAAATATAGCACTTGCTCAGCAATGGATGCTCTGCAGTGAATGGGTGCCGTCAGAATGCGAGTCCAAACAGCTGATAAAAACATCACAATAATCCACAAGTAATCCACGCCACTCCAGTCCATCTGTTAAAATCTTGAGAAGTGAAAAGCTGCATATTTGTGAGAAATAAATCCATCAAGGCCGTTTCAAACTACAAAATGTTGCTTCTGCCTAAAATACGAGTCCATAATCCATAATAACACTTCCTCCAGTGAAAAAGTGGTCTGGTCTGAATCAGGAGAGAAATCTGCACAGATCAAGTAGCGTTTACAAGCCAAAACAGCTCGAAACAAATATGTGTCTGGATTTTGATGTGAGAGACAACAGGAGATGGACTTTTTCACTGGAAGATGCGTTATTATGGATTATGGACTCGTATTTTGGCCAGAAGCAACAGTTTGAAGTTAAAACATCTTATAGATGGATTTGAACACACAGCTTGACTTCACACGATGTTAACTGCTGGACTGGGGGGTGTGGATTACTTGTGGATTATTGTGATGTTTTTATCAGCTGTTTGGACTCTCATTCTGACGGCACCCATTCACTGCAGAGCATCCATTGCTGAGACACTGATGCAATGCTACATTTCTCCAAATCTGATGAAGAAACAAACTCATCTTATAGTAAATGTTCAGCAAATTTCCAATTTTGGGTGAACCATTCCTTGAAGAGTGGATTTGTACAATAACAGTGTATGCAGACGAAAGCAAATGAGCTCCTAAAGGACAGAAAATCTGCATCTTGGAGCTCATTCACATTTTTGATCATTCCAATGTGGTGCATCAAGATTGGACATTGACAATCAGAGATACATGAGAACCAATGGCGTTTAGAGTTATTGATGTGCCATTTTTGAAAGTAAACGCAAGATTTTAGAGCTACAGTTGAGAGTATGGTTTACAGTGAAAGAAAAACAGAAAGTCATGCAGGTAAATGAACAATTTTCCACTTTAGGGTGAACTATTCCTTTAGGATACATAAGCACCTCTTTTCTTTCCTCTTTGCAGTCACTTACTCTTTCTTCCCCTCGCTCTTTCCAGGTGGGTTGTTTATAAGAAACACAGACCAAGAATATACAGCTTTCCGGTTGGCCATATTTCTCCACAATACGAGTCCGAATGCCACGGAAGCCCCTTTCAATCTGGTTCCACACGTCGACAACATCGAGACGGCCAACAGCTTTGCTGTCACCAATGCCTGTGAGTGAAAATTGTCAAAAGTTATGTGAGACAAAGTCTAAAACTGAATCGAGTGTGTTTTGATTAGGTTCTTTTCATTGTTCAGAGTCACATTTGACTTAATGAAGAGTGAAAAACTGACGCTTTCAAAACATTGATCTGTTTGTTTGAGTGGCCTGACTTGTCAAATTCTGACTTAACCAATGGAGTGAGTTTGGGGGCGGGACTTTGTGTTTGATGACCAATTGCAGACGAGGTGGGGCGTTGGGAGTGTCTCAGAAACCTGTTTCATTATTTTTGCTATTCTGTGTGGGGAAATGATACACTGCAGCTTTAAAGAGCAACTTTTTCATATATTCAGCGTGTTTGGTGCATGCATATACCTCAACATTAACTCTTGACCAGCTTTCACCTTGCTTTGGTGTGCATCTGTACGTCTCTGGGCTTGTTAGGATAGTTGTTAGCAGATTCATTTTCAGTTGCCTGTGATTCAAGTCAGAAACAAAAAGGGCTGTAGTCCAGAAATGTTTTCTATGCAGACACAGACACAAGTGCTTGAGCATTGCAAGTGTATAACCTGTTTGCACACACTCTTAAAAATAAAGGTGCTTAAAAAGTTCTTCACAGCGATGCCATAGAAGAACCATTTTTGGTTCCACATAGAACCGTTCGGGTCAAAGGTTCTTTAAAGAACCATCTCTTTCTTACTTTTTTATAATCTGAAGAACCTTCTTTCGCCACAAAGAAGCTTTTGTGAAACAGAAAGGTTCTTCAGATGTTAAAGGTTCTTTATGGAACCATTTAGACAAAAAAGGTTCTTCTGTGGCATCGTGAAGCACCTTTATTTTTAAGAGTGTACTGTAAAAACCTCAGCACTCAAGAGGCCATAGCGATTGTAAAACCCTTTTACCAGTTAAGTTCAATTAACACAATCCACATTAATCTACATGAACATGTGCATTAGATTCCTTTACATATCTGTACTTCACTGGGAGTCAATGGCACTTACCTGTATCATTAATTTTAGTGCAGTAACGATCAATGTTTGGACAGCAGGCCTCAAACACGTCACTTTGGGTCCCTCTCAGATATTGTGCTTCACTGGATGTCAATGAGAGCGTCATAAGCATTGGAAAAAGCATAAAAGCATATTGAGATGAAGTGTATTGGACATTGAGCTTTTAATTAATGTATTTATGTATTGCCTTTTCAGTATGATGATTGTGTGAGCTTTGAAATGGTCTGGCTTGGAGACTATATTGTTCAGATCTGCTCTCTTGACTACTGGCATTTGTAAATATTGCAAAACAGATCCAACACAATCAATTATTTTAATTTAATTAGTAGATGTGCAGTTTTAAAGAAGTAATCTAAGAGAAAGATTAAGCAAATATTATGACTTCTGAACCACTAGCGGCATCAGATTTTAGCAGTTTTATTTTAGTATTATTTATACACTATTATAGTTTATATTAATATTATTCATTTTTTTAGTTAATTTTAATTTAATTTATTTATTTTTTGTAATTGTATTATGTGCTTTTGCCAATTTTATTATTATTCAGTATTATTATTATTATATTTAATTATTATTATTATTATTTATATTACTGTTTAGGTTTATATTTTTAAGTTTTAATTCATATTTATTTCTAGTTTGTAATTTTAGTCCTTCAACTTAAAACTTATTTCACTTAGTTGCCTATGCAACATTTCTCATTTTTCATCTAACATGATTTTCAGCTTGATATATTGATTTTTAATAGTTTTAATTTAACGACAATAACCTTGGCTTTAACTGGTGGTGAAACTGAAAAAGTGCCAACTCTTTTCTTTCATATTGTTACATACATCCTAGTGTAATGGATTATCAACAAAGAAAAAATGTGGGGCGGAGACTTGCGTTTATGCATCAGTTGTTGATTGGATGTTGAGATGTGGGCGTGGCACTCTAAAGTGGATGAAGGGGCGGGGTTTAACCTGACTAAATTATCAGAGAAGTCATACATGCATCACCAGAAAGACGTCTGTCATTTTCACCAAAATGTCCAGTTATGACGACATTATGAAACATTTTTAAAAATAAAAAACACATAAGCGATCAAAATATGATCGATAACATGCATTTAAAAACAGATAGGGTGAATTTTCATTTCATGCCACTTCAAAGAAACCAGAAACCAAAATACTGATCTAAAGAGCCTATAATGAAAAATAAAGAATCTCAAAACACTAAAAAAAAAAAAAAAAAGTAAAAAAGATGTCACTGGGGCGGTTCCCTTGCAAAAGGAACTAATATGTACCATTTAGGCACTAATATGTAAACTTTAGGAACTAAAATGTATCTTTAAGATGCCCAATTGCACACTTTAGGGGTAAAAAAAATAAAAGCACAAAGGTGGACCGCCCCAGTGACAGCTTTTGTACCTTTTTTTCTGAAAGTAAAGAATCTTCTAGCAACTCAAGCCTAAACAGCCAAGAATGGCTCTTGATAAGAACTTAAGGAACCGCTGAAGAACCTCTAAGAGCAAAAGTCAGACAGGGAGCAACCGAGACGAGTCAATCCCAGTTTAACCTCTCTCCCGCTGGGCACCAACCTCTCGCACTCCTGCACACTGGATGCCCAGCCTGAGTCTGCAGAGTCTGCAGTGTGTGTGTGTGTGTGTGTGTGTGTGTTATCTCTGTCCTGGCTGCCTTCCAGCTCTTTTAGCCCTCATCAGCTGCGGAATACTGACAGCTTTGGGAATGAGGTGTGTGTGTGTGTGTGTGTGTGTGTGTGAGATAGATGGAGAGAAAGAGGGAGAGAGGTGAAGTTAATCGTTTCCTGCTCGTCTCCTCAGGCTGCAGGAGAGAATAAGGAGTGGAAAAGGTTTTCTCTTTTATCCTAACACACCTTTATCTGAGAGCTTAAAAGCAGCGAGCAAAATCAATCTCTGAATGAGTTTGAGCTGAGAGAGGGAACGTGTAATGAATGGAATCAGGAGATGGAGGGATTTATTTAATGAAAGGGGAGGAATGAAGAAATTACGGGAATGATATGTTGTCAAATGCAGGGGACAGAAGGAGAAACGGAGGAAACGAGAGGGAGGAGATAAAAGAGACACAGGAAAGAGAGATAAATGGATGGGTGTGTCGTGACCTTTGTGCAGCAGTAAATGTTTAGAGCACATACTGAGAGAGAGAGAGAGAGAAAGAGACTAAAAGATAAAAACAGAAGCAATAGATTGATGGATGAGAAAGAAAGAATGACTTGGATGGATGAATGAATGAAAACGGAAAATGGACAGATGGACAAAATGAACAGGCAGAATGACAAAGATACAACGACAGAGATCGAATGAATAAACAAACAATAGAACAAACAAATGATAGATAAAATGAACAACAGTTAGACAAAATGAACAATAAAATGAAAGACAGACAGAAAGATAGAGAGAGCGAGAGAGAGAAAGAATGAACAATAGCATGAATGACAGAATGAATGATAGATAGAACAAGTGATGGAATGATTGATTGATTGACAGAATGAACAAATGATAGAACGGACATTAGAATGAACGAATGAACAATAAAATGAATGATAAAACAAACGTTAGAATGAATGCATTAAAAATAGAATGAACAAATGATAGAATGAACTTTAGAGTGAACGAAAGAAAAATAGAATGAATGATAGAACTAACATTAGAATGAACGAAAAAAAAGAACAAATGATAGAATGAATGTTAGAATTAACAAACGAATGATATAACGAACGTTAGAATTAACAAACGAATTATATAACGAATGTTAGAATTAATGAACGAAAGATAGAAAGAATGATAGAATGAACTTTAGAATTAATGAATGAAAAATAGAACGAATGACAGAATGGACATTAGAATGAATGAAAGAAAAATAGAACAAATGAGAACGAATGTTAAAATGAATGAACGAAAAAGAACAAATGATAGAGTGAACATTAGAATGAACGTTAGAATGACAGAACGAACGTTAGAATTAATGAATGAAAAACAGAATGTATGATAGAATTAACTTTAGAATTAACAAACGAAAAATAGAATGAATGATAGAACAAACGTTAGAATGAACACACAAAATATAGAACAAATGACAGAACAAACGATAGAATGAATGATAGATGCAATGAACGAATGACAGAATGAATGAAAAATTGATAAACAGACAGATGATATAATGAACTATAGGATGAATAAACTAATGAACAAAAGTTTATTTGTACATCCGTCCGTCTGTCCATCTGTCCGTCTGTCCGTCTGTCCGTCTGTCTGTCTGTCTGTCTGTCCGTCTGTCCGTCTGTCTGTCTGTCTGTCCGTCTGTCTGTCTGTCTGTCTGTCTGTCCGTCCGTCCGTCCATCTGTACGTCCGTCCGTCTGTCCGTCCGTCCGTCCGTCCGTCCGTCCGTCCGTCCGTCTGTCCGTCTGTCTGTCTATCTATCGTATGCTAATATAATGTTGGGTTCATATGTGGTGCTTCAGTCTAACTGGGTTAATCAGAGTTCAGTCCGCTCTGTCATTCACACACACACACACACAGACACACACACTTGGGTTTCCATGTTTTATGGGGACGCTCCATAGGCGTAATGGTTTTTATACTGTACAAACCGTATTTTCTATCACCCTACACCTAAACCTACTCCTCACAGGAAACTTTCCGCATGTTTAGATTTTCAAACACTTCATTCTGTATGATTTAACAAGTTGTTTCATCATGGGGACCAAAAAAAGGATTTCGAATTTTGCCATAACGTAGGGTTTACCAGGACCACACACACACACACACACACGTGCGCGGGTCGCAGCAGAACTCATTTTAAATAAAATCAAGCTTCATGACACTTGTGAGGCTCTTTTGTCAGGGAATCATCATCATCATCTCAACAAGGCATCACAAACATCCATTAATCCACCACAACACACACACACACACACACACATGATCTCGAGCCGTGTGTGTGTGTGTGTGTGTGTGTGTTAAACCTCACGTCTGCTGAATCAC